CTGTAGCGCTGCATGGGGTTATTGTGACCAAAGTGCAGGACCCGGCACTTGGCCTTGTTGAAGCTCATAGACTTGGCCTCAGCCCATTGATTCAGCCTTTCCAGGTCCCTCTGCAGAGCCTTACTACCCTCAGGCAGATCAACACTGCCTCCCAACTTAGTGTCATCTGCAAACTTACTGAGGGAGCACTCAGTCCCCTCATCCAGGTCATTGATAAAGATGTTAAATCAGGACTGGTCCCAAAACTGAGCTCTGGGAAACACCGTTTGTGACTGGATTCTGACTGGATTTAACTCCATTCACCACAACTCTTAGGGCCCTGCCATCCAGTCAGTGTTTGATCCAGCAGAGTGTATGCCCATCCCAGCCTTGGGCAACCAGTTTGTTCAAATGCTGTGGGGAACAGTATTGAGGGCTTTACTGAAGTCCAGGTAAACAACTACCAATACAGATCTGTGGTTTGTAATGAGAAAACCAATGGTGACTTAAACTGAGCAAGGGCATGGGAGTTTCGTCATGAAGAAAAAGCACTGCTTCAGACTTCTATTTCAGCCTTCCTTTGGCCATTCTGTTCTCTTCCTGGAAAAGTCTTTATTTTGCCCATGGATGCTCACATCCTGTTTCCTTTGTAGGCCTGGAGGCAGTAATCAGAAATTTGCACTTCCTTTTGCAATTTAGGACTGCCCAGTGGGAAATTTGCTTTGTCGGGAATAGCCAGAATCCCGATTTGAGTGCATAGATCAAGATGTTAATTTAACACACTAATTCTTTCATTTCTTTTAAAGGAAAGAAAAATGACATTATTAATTTCGGATACGTGTCCTTTTGCCTTTTGTAGTTTCAAGGTTGAGCTTGTCTAGATGAAAAAATCTTGTTTGTATTGTAGTATCAGGAGCTCTCTGACAATAGCAACTTTACAACTGGGGAAAGACATTTAGGAAAAAATATTTTAGTCAAATGTGTGGTAATTCTATTGATGATGATGTATTAATAATCTTGATTTGTCAGATACAGAGAATGCATTCTAAATGTCCTAGATCTAGCACGTATGTATGAATTCCTGAGCATGTGTCTGTGAAGCTGTACTAGCCTCAGCAGCCACTGATGGTTTTCAAGTTCAGTAACTTACAAATGACTGAGGCCTGTATATCATTGAGAAGATGTAATTAATTGTAAGGGTTAGCAGGGCATTTAGACATTAGACTTTAAAGCTACGCTGTTGCACGAATCTACATGCTTGCTCTGTTTCCCCTTTTCTCCCCTTTCCCTTAACTTCAGCTAGCACATAGATTTAAATTATTTTGATTTTTAATAGTGATTTTTTTGAGGAAAGTATTAGTTCCAGGACTAATGTAATGCACCATCCGTGAGCTTGTAATCCCAGCTTTCAAAGTGCTTAATAAAAGTAGGCTAAAGCTCTCAAAAATAAGAGTCTGGAGTAAAGCTTTTATGTCCATATTTAGACATATTAAGTAAAGGACCTGATTTTAGAAAAACTGCTGACTATCCTGAATACTCCATGACTTAGCCCTGCTAAAAAAATCTTGAACTTGGTTCTCTATGTGAGTAGTTTGGGGGGGGTTGTTTTGTTGTTCTTTTTTTTTTTTTTTAAGTAAGTTATGAGTTGCTAAGGTCACTTAGGATTGTGTGGGAGATCAGCAAGGGGGTAAGCAGAAGGACCTGACTTTAAATGTGGGACAGTTGTACGTGTACTCTACCTGCAACTGTGTGCATGGGAACTTGGGCACCGTGGTTTGAAGGCTGTGAGCACACACCCTGGCATATCTGCTGGTCTGTGCCCTCAAACCACGCACTGTATTCAAGATGCACTTGTGTGCATCTACGGACATGCTTGTGTTGAATGCAGGAAAGACCACCAGGGCTTAGAGAGAAGACAGCAGCGTGGGCAGTAAACTCTGCTCCAAGTGCCCTCTGTGTTTGTCTGGGCCACTTCGTCCTCTTGTGTGAAGCTGGAGCAGAGAACAAACTGCCTCAGGTCTGCATATGCACGCTGAAATCAGAGCTCTGGTTGCCTCCTTGATGCACCTTTTGAAAGTGCTTGAGCCAGTTGGGGTTGGAGGTGTTTTATATGTTCATGGCTCATTCCAGTCTCCTGGTAAGTGCTGATAAATTGAAAAGAAATAAAGAGTTATGCTGGCATGCAACCTGCATTGACTCTTCCTGCCTTTCCATTTTTCTTATTTTTTTTCCTTAATACTATTCCATACCCATGATGTTCTCCATCACACTCATCATTAGAGGCAGAATTTTTCTTTGAGAGGTAAAGAAGTTGAGATCCCAAAGTCTCATTTTTTTAGCCTTTGCATCGTAACTGGTCCTTGGAACAGAAGTGAAGAAAATGGATTGGTTCTGCTATGTCCTAGCAATCTTGAGTACCTTGAGCAGGCTTGTGACTGAGTGGTGATCAGTGAGAGCCAGGTGAACTTTGCACAGCTAGTGTTTGCCAGCCACAAGTGCAAACTGTGTGTTTTAGTTTTGAGAGCACCTTTTATTTTTCTTGACTGCTATCAAGGTGGTAATGGGATCAGTCCATAAATGTGCCCAGCTCATGCCTTTGCTATTTTTGCTATTGTCGGGACAAGCCTGAAGGCATTTAAAGTGATCTTTCCCCCAGCCTACCTTGAGGCAAGCTGCTTCTCAGCTCCTCAATTTCTTTTTCCTGACCAGAATGACTGGTGATCTAACTAAGCAGCTGAGGTGTCGGTTTTCAAATGGGTGGGTAATAGCTCTAAAGTAAGCTTTAAACTTTTTATTGCTTGATTGGAGGAGTGGGGGTGGTGTTTCAGTGGGGACTGGAATGTTAGCCAAGCCCCCAGATAAAGACCATGAAATTTTTAGCTCAGGGATCCAGAGTGCGACATGGGTTAGCTGAAAGCCGGTCATTTCCCGATGCTGAATTAAAGCTTAGACGCAGTGGGTTGTTTGACTAAACAACAGTGTTGCAACCTGAAAGGAGGATACTGAAGCTGTTGAAATGAGTTGTCTTTGAGAAGAATTTGAAGGTCAATTGGTCAATTTTAAGGGTGAGTTTCAGCAAAGGCATGGTTGCACTCATCTGAGTCTTTCTGGAGACCTGGCACTGGTTCTTCAAAATGATTGTCAACTTCAGCTAGAGCACACAAATTATTTTTAAATAAAGCCTTACACTTTTTTCTGTATATGGTAGATCACACAGAATTATCTAATTGTTTAGAAATCTGAGGTTAGTGCATTTGCTGAACCTTTATTTTACTAGATAATGCAAAAAAGGTATTATTGTTTGAGTTGAATATGACTTTCGTAGTTTGGTTTAAAAGGTAAGTTGGATAAACGACCATGAAGTTGGTAAGAAAGAGCTAGAGATTTCTTTCTTACTTGAATCTAAATAGTTGTGGTTAGTTATGTATTAATACTTTATATGACCATAATACAGCTGAATGCTTGGATCTTGATGCTGAATTGTTTGATGTATTTAGTAGCAACAAATACAGATTTACATGTAGACTGCTGTGACAAGATTAGTTGCTTCTGTAAATGTAAAAAAAAATCTTACTAACATGCCTGTTTTCCGTTTACTATCTCATATGCTTTACATTATTTTGAAGGATGCATAGACATGTAATTATAGGCTTCCCCTTCCTGTTATTAATTAATATGTAAGAATTATTTGCTAGAATAACAATTGAGTAGTCTGTGCATGTGTTTCTGAACGCAAGGTGTTTTAGGCTAGAGGATCCCAAAACTGATCTTAATCTGTTCTGGACTACCAATCAGGAACGCTTGTAATAATATTCTCAACATCAGTTGTTAGAGGTGCTTTTTTTGCAGCACTGTGAAAGCGTCTTAGATGTTTTTGATGTGTTAAACTTGCTGTAAATGAACCAATGGCTGTTTTGGCCTCTCTCCAAAGTTTGGCATGCAGTGAGGTTTCATCTCGCACCAACAACAATTACTGACTTTTTTAAAAAGAAATTTGACATCAGACACCAAAATTCTTTTTTCATCAGTGACCTACTTGCTTTAGGTTTTGCTGTTTCAGTCTTCTAGCTCTTATTTATACCTCTATATGATCAAAACATGGACAGAATATGGCTTGGCAGTGGCTCTTTTTCACTGCAATGTTGGTGCATTTTTTTTTCCTAAACCTTCCCCTTGCCTCCTTCCCCCCCCCTTTCTGTCTTCACACCTACATCAGTACCTGCCAAACCCTTTCCCCTCGCTGTTTGAGGGGAGCCATTGCAACACACTTTCCCTGCATTTAGGATGCTCACATTTTTCGCCTTAGCTCAGGCTTGCCTGAGGCCAGAGCTGCTCTCATCTCCCCGAGACTCCAAACTGATAAGCCAATTTAATTGGAATGGGGTGTGGTGGTTGTTTATCCTTCATTACACTGAAATCTAGTGACATAGAGTAGAAAATGAAATGAGAATGAGTTAGATTAGAGAATAGGCACATCTGTCAATAATCAGATGCCCAGCACATGTACCATTAAACAGCTTGTGTTGCTGTATATGAAAAAAGTCTTCTCTAGTGCAAGGATGATAGTTATTATGATTCTGACTTTTGACCTAAAAGCCAGCAAGCCTTTTGTATGCTTCAGCTCCAAATGCCGTTGTAAATGCATTGTTGTTTAAGTATTCAAAAAGCTTGTTCTCAACAAATACAGGAGAAGCTGACAGCCCTCCTGCTTTATGTGGTCTCTGGACAGTTGTCAGTTCCCAAATGTGATTACTCCAACAGGAGTTTCTCAAAGGAGATTTACTTGTGGCATTCTGTGTTACATTTTTTCCATTCTAAAGGTGGTGTTGAAACATGCAGCTTGTTTGTCATGGTTGTCCCTATACCAACAACAGCAAACAGTCTATAAATTATTTATATAATTAATTTTTCATCTAAGAGGCTGCAGGCCATCTGTTGATTTGCATAAAATAGCAGCATAGTCACTGTATTTCTATTTCAGTACCTTTGGAAGGAATTATATGGATAGAAAAAATGTCCAACGTAATACATTTTGGACCACTGAATTTTTTCTGTAAACACATCTGAATTGTTCTGCAGAAGAATAACCTCTCATTTGAAGCCTTTGAGTGGTACTCTGTGCCTCTGCCCATCGGTTTGGTTAGGTCCTGTGAAATCAAGGTAGCTACACTAGCTTGTTCCAAATGGTGCAGAATCAGGTTCATTATTTACAGGTTTACTGTACCCAGTTTGTAAAATGGTTGTGGTTTTGCCTTGTTCATGTAGGTGCCGCTGAGCTGCTGCTTCTAGCCCGCCGAACAGATTTGAGGCGAATTTCCTTAGACACCCCAGACTTTACAGACATCGTTTTGCCACTGGAGGACATCCGTCATGCCATCGCCATTGACTTTGATCCTCTGGAAGGATACATCTATTGGACCGATGATGAAGTTAGGGCCATCCGCCGCTCGTTCATCGATGGGTCAGGTAGTCAGTTTGTTGTCACAGCACAAATTGCACATCCTGATGGCATTGCTGTGGACTGGGTTGCCCGAAATCTCTATTGGACTGACACCGGCACAGACCGTATTGAAGTGACAAGGCTTAACGGGACCATGAGAAAAATCTTGATATCGGAAGACCTGGAAGAACCCAGAGCTATTGTGCTGGATCCCATGGTTGGGTGAGCAGCTGTTCATGAGCATCTTTTAAATATTAGTCATGTCAAGAAGATACCTCTGTCTACCTGTACGCAGATGCTATGATAAGATACCAACTCTTCAGAATGAAAATACTGGGATTCTTTGAAAGTTAAGGCACAGAACTTCCCTTTGACTGCCTGGCTAGTCATCTTATGAGTCTTTAGCTTTGATTCTTCTGTCTAAAAAATAGTTTTGGGCAGTATGTTGACCTGTTTGTTTATTGTAGCTAACAGCACTGGTTACATTGTCTTGCTGAGCAGACTGATAGAAGTATTATGTAAAGAGGCAATGTATTTACATATCAGTGCTTTCTGAATGGTTTGGGCATCCTTAGTTAGGTAAGGAAATATATTTGGCTTAGAAAGATACTTTTCTGTGTGCAGTCTGGTTCTGGGGAACAGTACTCCAGAAGAAGCTATGTGAATATTGAAAGGTTAGATTAATAAGAATTCTTAACATTTTGTTTCCTTTGCAGTTACATGTACTGGACTGACTGGGGAGAGATCCCAAAGATCGAGAGGGCAGCATTAGATGGCTCAGACAGAATTGTGCTGGTGAATACCTCACTTGGCTGGCCAAATGGACTGGCACTGGATTATGCAGAAAGCAAAATATACTGGGGAGATGCCAAAACGGACAAAATAGAGGTTTGTAATTGCACTTGCATTTTTAATTCCATGGAGTTGTAGAATGTAGCTACTCTACTTTTCTAGAAGTTTAAATTCCAGTCTAGCCCAAAAGGGCAATGGGGTAATGGTTGATTTGAGAAACAATTCCGTTTCTTCTCTGTCTTTCAGCAGGTTACTTGCTATTTTTCCTCCATTTTTCTGTATGTAAAACAGGAGTGATATCCATGTAGTAGATCCCTCTTTTTAAGAATGAACAATAAGGATTTGTTAAATAATTCAATTCTTAGGTCATCGGGGAAAAAAAGTTGTTTACTGGGAGTAATGCTTGTAGTTTTTAAAAAAATCTCTCATTCTTTGCACTGCTCAGCTTAGTTGCTAGTAGGACATATTTTAAAGGAAATAATCTCAGTTCATATAGAATTATTTGTACTCCCACAAATACTCTCTACTTTGCATCTCCCTTGTTTTATTAGGGTTCCAGCAAGGGGATAGATATTCCTGTTTTTCTGGTATATTCTGCTGAAACTTTTAATTGAAAATGAAAATGCCATTTTTTCTTCTCTCCCATGTTTAAAATCCTGTGTTTATTTTGTTACATAACATTTATGGAAAAAATTTGACATTATCTCTTTGTCAGTCTTTGGAAAAATAATACTGCTTAGTATTTGTTCAGTTTACTATCAAAAAGCAGAACTTTGGACATTTTTTAGCGCTTACCATATTCTACACAATATCTTCTCTAGCCTTATGAAACTGGTTTATTTATTTATAACCTCAAATAAGTCAACATGAAGTCGTAGTGTTGCACTGGAAGGTCATGTAACTGTTTTGCTTTCCTTCAGAGTCAAAGCAACTCCAGTCCTGCAAGGTGAGGGGCTTTGAAGCACTCCTTGGGAGAGCCTCGGGGAGCGTGGTTTTCTTTGTCCTGAAAACAAGATTTATAGTCTATAATTCACCTAACTTTATACCAGCTCTGAGAAAAGAGGGGGGAAAAAAGTGTCTTAGCTGTGCTTAGAGATTTATTTATAACAGATTGAGCACTTCAGCCCTGATATTCTCTTGGACTTTGAATGTATTTTGCAAAAGCAAAGTTAGGCATTCTCCACTCTCTTGCTTGCCAAAACATTGAGATTTTTTTCATGCGCTTCAGTCTTACTCGGAGCATGGTTCCATATTTGTTAGTACTGATTCTGTTCAGTGCTGGATCAGTTTGTGATAGAAAGTTTCATCCAGATCAGGCATGAGCTCACTGCTGCAATTCTGTCAGACTGGCTAGAACACATGATACAATGTTTATGCCAACATTTCAATGTCTGTGGCAGGACAGAAGATATCTGATCTGGCACAAAGTCTGCTGGAACTATTTCAATTTCATTGTTTTTAAACCAGTGTGAGCCAGCAAAATGAGTTTGTTCCAGGTTGTCATGTAAGATCCATGCAGGGCATTGGAGAAGATTTATGATCTTAAGATTTCAGAATTACTAGTTATTTTTTTCCTATGAGGCTCGAAGTGTTAAGAATTATGATTTTACTGCTGCTGCTTTTTATAAAATGTTAACATATCACAGAATCACAGAACATTAGGGATTGGAAGGGACCTCAAAAGATCATTTGTTAACTCTTATCCAGGTGCAGAAAATCTCAAAAAAGCATGGCTTAAACCTTTACAGCAACAGAGAAGAAATTCTCCCAAATTTTTCTTCGGTGTTTTTGGATTTTAGATTTGTTTAAAGATGTTTTGTTTTTTTAATTGCCAAAGATGTTAATTTAGGAGTATGTGTCAGAGGTCTACAAAGTCAATAAAATTATCTATAAGGTGACCAGGATTCCCGCACACACACCTTTTTTGATAGAAGTTGGCATTCATAGATGATACTGCCAGGTCATGGGTACAGAACAAACAAAAGCAAATGGCTCTTCAAACAGTGTGGCAAGTTGTGTGGAAATGGTTGTGGATGTTGAAAGTTTACATGTGTTATTGGGAATACTGGGTAAGTCTGTGGAAGGGAATTGGAAAGAAAATAGAATTGCCTTCTGAAACAAATCGCTGAACTGTAAATTGCTGTAGAATGAAAAACACTTCTTGAGAAGTTCCAGTATGTATTTGACTTACTATGCTGCTCTGTAAGTGTAAGTTTTGGCGGGTGCACCTTTGGGTTGAACCCATATGGCCTCTCTCTTGTGTTCAGGCCATTCTATTCCTTGAAGATTTGGGGAATCTTTATTCTGTTAGCTTGTTGCCTTAGCTTTAGGAAAAACTTAATCTTCCTAAGATGTAATATTGGTGCTTACTAACTGCACTTCAGAGGGGCAGAAATAGGCTGAAAATCGATGACCTCTGATAGTGATAGATCAGAGTGTGAGTTCAGTACGGCTTCTGTAATTAGTAAAGCATGGAAAGGCTCTATAGGTTGAAGAGGGGGTGTTTGTCCAAGAGAATGGTTCAGTCTAAAGTAGATTCCCCTTCCCCCTCCTCAGTGTGCTAAGTAATGCAAATGTGGTGGTGAGTTTCTTTACTGATGAACCTCAGTGAATTTTCCCCAGGATCTTCTGTGTCCTCTCTAATCTTTTATGCGAGATTCATTTTGTTATGGTGGGCTGCAGAAATCTCAGGCTGCAATGACACTATCTAAATCTATGATAGCTTAAATATTGCTAACATTTCAAGTCTTCCCTTTTCTTCTCACTGCCTTTCTCTCCTATGGCAACCATGAATCCTGAGGAGATTTGTAACACTTTCCCTGCCCTTCCCATCCATTTTTATATCAGATTAGTAGAAGATGCTTTGACCTTCAGTAAATGTTTTAAACTTACATTTCGGTAAAGAACAGTGGAGGAGGTGCAACAAAGAGGATATTTGTGACAGGATCAAAAGACGAAACTTGAAATTGGACATGAAGATGTCAGAATATATGCATAGTACTTGCTTTGCTTGTATGTCTGTGTTTGTATTTGGGAGGAGGGGTAAAAGCAGGAGAAACATGTTTGTGTACTTGCACTCTATTGCCCTTATGTAGTTTTCCATACATGATTTTACATGTATTGTGCTTTTTTCTTCTTTTTTCTTATTTTTTTTCCTAGTGTGTGGAATTCCTCAGAACCATTGTTTAATTGCAGCGCTGTCAAAATGAGTGTTTCTTGCAAGCTATGTTTCTGGTTTGTTTGTGCCACATCTGAGATTTTATTATTTATTTTTTACACACTGATTCATGCTATGCTGTTCTGGAGCCCCCAGATGATAATAAAGCATCAGCAGGGGTTAATGGAGACTGGTAGGGGGTACGGCAGGGAGCTTTTGTTCCCATTTTATCTGGCAGCCTGCAGCAGGCAGAAGCAGGCTGTGGCTCAACAGCTTCGTCATTTATCTCGGTCAGGTTTCACTGCTGATAAACTTCTATTGAAATGGATGGCTGCTATTGTGCTTACCAGTAGGGAAGATTTCTCATTGACTTGCTACAGGTTTAAAGCATTTTCCTGCCGTGCTATGAGGTTAAAAATGTATGATCTGCTCTGTTGAATTGGTCTTATGTTTTCCTGCTCAAGTGAGTATTTGTCTTCTGAGCACGTACGCTACCTGTTTTAAGGCATAGGTTGGATTTAAAATGGTCAGCAAAGCTCCTATCGATAAAACAATTATAAATGGCTGCATGCATGTGTGGATGTGTGTGTGTTAAGAGAAAATAATGATTATATGGTTGATTTTTCACAATTTTTCAGTCTTTGCTTCATTTTTCTTTATTCATCTTCCTTCCTGTTCTTCAGTCTCAGAGCCAGAGATGACACCCACTTACACCTACTAGTGGTGAGTTTAAAGAAAGGACTCTGCCTCCTATACAGATCCAACCATTATCTAGTGATTTTTTTGAGTGCAGCTCTAACTTGAAGTGTTTCTGCATTCCCAAATCTATTAGCTGTGCCTGGCATTACTGTCTCTAATCCTCATGATTAATACAGAAAGTCTTACATCCTGCTGTTTTTCAGCATAAGTACACACAAGTCTTCAGAATCCAGCCTTGTCGGACAACAGAAAGCGGATGCTGCAAAGACTTTCTTGAGCACAAAAATCTTGAACAGAGAGGACCTTTTTGTCTTTGACCCAGGAGCTAATAGCCTGGCATCTAGAGAATGCTCTAATTCATATTCTAATCCTGAAATTGCAGGGCTACGTTTTCTTCCGATGACAGCTCCCTCAATTTTACCGCCACCCTAATAAGGAAATGTTGTTTTCTAAGCATTCACCGTTTATTTTCCGACTGAGAAATTTTATCTCGTCGCATTAGTCTTTGTATTGTGAAATGCTGATGACTTGAAAGCCTGATTACTGATCCTACCTCATCCACCTTAGTTTGAAGCAGAGGTTTGAAAATTGAGAAGCAGAAACCATAGAATTCCTAGCTGTTAAACACAGCTCCCTTTGTGTATTTCCTTTAAGCTTTTGCAGGTATGGGAAATAAGGCAGTTGAAACAAATATCTGAGTTTGCTTTATTCTTTAATTTTGGCCACAGTTCATTATCCACCTTGTTTGGATGGTTGTGGCACTTGGGAACTTCATTCAGCAAAAAACAAGTGTGTGCTGCAGAGGGTAAGGGCAGATCCCTCTCCTCCATCCCAGTTTCAGAAATTCAAAGATTACTTTGTCGGGGAATTTTCAGCTATTTCATAACACTTGCTAGGCCTGCATTAAGAAAAATGATAGCTTTTTTGAAATAAGTAGCAGAGTAAGGGCTTATTTTAAAAAAATATGTATTTTAATATTCTATTTATATTTTGTATAATTTCCATTTGAGGGAGGTTTCTTTTGAACTTCTGAATGAACTTAGGGAAGAATTAAATTTCATTATGCAGATCCAAGATAGGAAAGCTATATTACAAAGCAAACAAATGACAATGTAGGTCCTAACCTAAACTTCTTTTCTGATACCATTCATGGTGTTGTAACTTCACAGAAGTCTGTGAGAAAAGGATTGCAGGAACGTTAATGTATTTTATTAAGCTAGTAAATACATATGGTGAAATA